AGGTGGAGGCAAAAAGTGATTCACGTCGTGCCGCGACGTTAAATCAAGCGCTTGTTGGGAGGCAACCCAGCTTTATTTTTTTAATTTTTTTAATTTTAGTTTATTTTTTTATTATTATATTATTTTTGTAGTGTCGAATTTTGATTTTCTAGGAGCATGAAAAGCAAAACTATTGGAAGGATGCAACAGCAAACCAGATGGTTGGAACTAAGTGTGAGGTACCCGCACGAAGGACCAAGCCTGGGAGAAGTCTGAGTACCTCATGAGCTGCTAGTGCTTCGGCCTTTGCCTACCAGGGAGTTTCTTTTACCCTCCTATAGTTATGATGTGCATTGGGGACAATGCATAATTTTAAGTGTGGGGTGGGGAGATTATTTGGGTGACTTTCCATACTAATTTAGTTGTGTTAGTTTAATTGAATTTTTTTTTACAAAAGTAGAAAAGATTGGACTTTTCCCAATGATGGATCTATTAGACAATTTTTTTGAGGGATTTAAGTCTAAAACAAAAGATTTTCTTTTGTTAGGTAGTGTAGCAATTACCCATTGGTTTTTCTTTGTGCTGCGGTTCTTTTCCAAGGGTTTTGTTTGAACCGGGTGTAGATAGTTTTTTTTTCGGGAGTAGGAGCCATTGTGTTGTGTTTTGAATTGAAGCAATATCTCTTAACTTTGTTATGCCTTGAGAATAGTAAGTACTCTGGTTGTGACGCTTAGGCTCAGTGTTTGACTCTTGTATAAGTACCTTAAATTGTATGATTTTAAAGTCGGCTAACTGCTTTGACTAGATTGTCTTGATGAATCCAATCCTGAGTGAGTTAAGTGCCATGTGTGTGTGAGGTTTATGTGTTATTCTGTGCATTGCATTGATGCCTAGAACTTGCCCCATGTGTTTGCAAAGCGAAATAGTAGTTTTGTTCAGTCTTGGAAGTGATATAGGCGTTTCTTTGTTGAGCCAGATATGTATATTTTACCCGCCTAATTATTATGTGTCGTAGTTAACCCCTTTGAGCCAGTAATCTTGTTTTTTTGGCAACCACATTACAAGCCTTGCCCATTTTTTTTTAATTAACCATCTATTTGAACCTTCTAACCTCTCATGAGCACTTGAAGTGGTATGAACTGTGTAAAGGTTAAAGTGTGGGGTGGTTGGTTTGGCTTTTGAGTGAAACTAATGAAATAAGGAGAAAGGTGCACTGTTTTGAAAAACTAAGAGCCACTTAAATAAATAAATAAATAAAAAGAAAAAAAAGTTGTATTTTTTTTTTTAAAAAAATCCTTGATAAGTGGTGACTCTTGATGTAATTGTGCTTGTGCTTAAAGAAGTATGTGGTAAAATACATTGATGTGAAGGCAGAGTTTGGTTTGATATAAGTATGGGGTTTGAATGTTAAAGTATATGTATTAAAGTGCTTAGGGAGGTGTAGTCACTCTTGTATCTAAATGTATCATACCCGTCCCGCAGCCTACATTACAACCAAATAAAGTCCTACTTGATCCTAGACTGAATAAGCTCGATTAGTAGAGTAGTACACCACGGGCAAGCCTATGGTGCATCTTTTGTGGCATATGAATGTTATTTCTGAGAGTGAGTGAATTCTTTCTATTTTGAGTTCCTAAGTGTTCTTAAATTTTATTGTGTGGAACTACTCTCTTTTGTTGTGTTAGGGCACTTGATTCATGAAGGAAAGGTAATGTAAGTGACCTCTATGTTAGAGTAAGTGGGTGAATTGTGAATAATCCGTGGTACTTGTGAGTCAAATCTTGAGGTGAAGATGTTACGCTTTTGTGCTTAGTCTATTTTAAATATTCTTGGTGTGATGAGTTAGGAGAATTGTTTAAAAAAAGGGTCGTGTCTATATAAAGTGTAGTTTGATTACTCGAGGACGAGTAATAGTTTAAGTGTGGGGTGTTGATGATAGGCTATAATTGTGTATTTTAGTCGCTTATTACACTCTAATTTACTGCACTTTAATTGAGTTTGAGCTTTAATCGCTAGTGTTTTGCACTAACTGTGTGTTTTATGCCTTGTAGGAGTGATTCCGAGCTATATAGATGTTATGGAATGAATTCAAGTGATTTGCAGCTTTGAAGTCTGAGTAAAAGCCCAAGGAATTAAGCCGGGATCATGTTCAAGGGTCAAATTTGATAGTTAAGAACAAACGAAGACTCGAGTAGGCATATTGCGCACTTTCTAGTAAAATACACATAATCTTTCTCTCCGAACTCCATTTGAGCTCCACAATATACGGTTGGAAAGCTAACTCGAAGTGATATAACTTTCGTGTTTTACGTTTTTCCAAATTCCAAACGGAACAGGGTGAAAAATACGGTCGAAACTGCAACCGCGGACCTGGACGCGGACTGAGGCAGTGCACTGTGAAAATACCCGCCCGGGCCGTGACCGCGAGCGTCCAAACCTGAAAAATTATCCTTTTCCGCGTAGGAGAAGGTATAATTGTTTGGGCCCGACCCTACTTGGTATATATACATGAAAAAAGGTATTTTGAGGAGGTTGGATACGCTTTTGACACAGATTCGACCTAAGGAGGCAGAGACACAATAGGAGCAAGGCGGGGAATTCTTCTACGAGTTTTTCCTTCCTCTTCCTATTTTTTCATTGTTGGTTGTGACTTTTAGTATTGTAGTTTTACATACTATTATGAATAGCTAATTTGTTATCTAGGGTTTTGATGGAACCTTTTATAAGATAAATTCTTGTTATGTTTTTATATAATTGAGCCTTTGGATTTCTCTACTTGTTCAATTACGTGTCTATTGTTGTTGATTGAATGGCCATCGATTGACTGTGCCTATTTATTATGTGTTGCTTGAGAAAGGATACATATTTAGGCGGTTGTTGAACAACGTCACTCCTAACGTATGTGAGAAATCAATACAATGGGTTTAAAGGCAGGTTTAAAAATAACAAAGCCTTGACGTGGTCATAATGAGCGGTTAGATAAAGCCAACTAGCGTAGTTCGAGAGAATATGTCTAGTAAATTATTGTAGTTGCTCGAGAGAGAATTACGACACCTAAAGTGCTCACGATCAGTAGAGAATACATTGGCAAAATTGTGGGAAACATAGCTAGAAGGATTTCGACAATTGGGGAAATCATAACTCTAGACCTCCTTAATTTAGTCTCCAACCCTTTGTCTCATTAGTTGATAATTTTACCGTTTTGTAGTATTTGCTAGTTAATTAGTTAGAAATATAAATCTCAATCTTTATAATTTAAAAAATTGTTCAAACTTGTCTTCTTAGTGATATTAAACAGATATAGCTAAACCTTAGTTCTCTGTGGGACTCGACTCCAGACTTTTTAGACCGGATTATATTTGCAGCGACCGCTTATCCTTTTTAGGACTAGAGTTGGGCGTGATCATTGATCTTATGCAGATTTTATCAACTTTAATTTTGTAAAACTTCTTCCCGCATATGCAATGCTTCAGAAATTATTAGCATTATAATATAGCCAGAAAAGAATCAAGTTTTTTCATCTGATTGAACATATCGATTAGAGTATTATTTTCTAATTGTACTATTTTTTTTATCACTTATTATTTGGAAAGTAAGTTTAAACCATATCAAAGTGACTATTACCATGTTTTAAGGAACTTTCAAGGTTAAGGAAATATTTTTTTTTGAGATTCTCATCATCTAATGATCTCAAATTTTTATCACTAAATAGAACGATATATTTCATACGCGGTCAACACCAATAACAAACAATTAAAATTATACTTTTTTACTTTAAGATGCTCAATTTTAAAAATAATAATTCATAAACTACTACGGGTGAAAAATAGGGCCCCCAAATTTTGGGTGCCTAAAGTCATTGCTTGGTTGCCTTACCTTTCAGCCGGCACTGTCTGGAAGTTCTTATTCTACTATAAACAACATATATCGTTTTGTTTTATCAACTAATCTTGAAAGTTTCTTGTATATATATACAGTTCCTTTTTGCAGTGTCTTCGAAGTAAACTATCATAACTTAGTTTATTCTCTAGTGCAATGATTCAATGAAGAATACTGCATGAGTTTTCATTTAAGGGCCTTAATATACCTTTCTGAATAGAAATATTATTTCATTTTTTTGAAAGCAGGAAGATATGCTCGAGAAAACTGTATCCTTTAACCCTGACTGCATAAAAATGTTGTATATGTGATATTCTGGTTTGTCTTAAACAAATATGTTATTTTGTATTCCGTTTGCCGTTGACAAGTACTTGATTATTCTATCTATCTTCAAGTTATAGCAAATGCATCCCTTATAATATTTGTGTTACTAATCAACTTTTTTGATTGCCCATTATTTGTGCTTTAAAATTAAAAGCAATTAAAGCTTCCAATAACACAAAGGAGATTGGAATTGTAGGTTTGTTAACTTCCTGGACAACATTTTTGCGTGTATTTAGAAGTAGTTTTATGGCCGCGCGAAGCACAGGTAAATTAACTAGTTTGTATAATAATTATGTGCCCTTTTACTCTTGAACTACTTGAACAAAGAGGGCAGGGGGTGCTATCGGATATAAGAAAAACTGCTATATTTTGACAGCAGTTAGCTCTCTCTAACTAGAAATATGATAAGACAAGTGCGAAAAAATTGTAGGGTAGATTCAAGGTATGCCAGTTGTCCGGCGATTGCTATATTTTGACAGCAGTTAGCTCTCTCTAACTAGAAATATGATAAGACAAGTGCGAAAAAATTGTAGGGTAGATTCAAGGTATGCCAGTTGTCCGGCGGAACTTTCAAGAATGGTTGAGTGTATAGAGTGTAATGGCATTCTAGTTTGCAGCAAAAAAATGCTTATCAACACTTAGTGAACCAAATACTTTTATTAATTTTAGTATTTTTATTCAAATACGTATTAAATTAGTTTCAACAGTTAAAAATACTTTTCGTGATATTTATCAATTACTTTAAATAATCAAAGCCAAACGGGCTAAATTCCAAAGAGTTCATATTAGCACTACATGAGTATAATAATGATATTGTTGTTGTTGTTATCAGCAGCACCAACGGTCCGTATCCTATCTTCCCCCTGCTACCTCTTTTTCTTCCTTATCTCAGCCAAACAAGAAAGAAAAATAAAAATAAAAATGGCTGAAATGAGTGTACCCATTACTTCAATTCAATTCTTTCCTAAATCAGCACTCTGCTCCCTCTCAACCAGAAAATTTAACCCTCACGACTTGTGGGTTGGTTCAGCAATTGTATCTCCCAGCCCTAAGTTTTGCTTAAAGTCCAAGTACAATTCACTTCCTTTCTGTGCTGCTGCTGTGAAGGCTGCTTCTTCTTCAGAAAAAACTCAAACGGAGCCCATGATCCCTCCTTACAATGTCTTAATTACAGGTGGTTCCAAAGGTTAGTGGTTTGCCGCCCAAAAATTTCCAAAATACAGCCGTTGAAATGGGTTTTCTTATAATTTGGCATGTTACTCTTAACTTCAGTTTTTCTGTTTTCTTTCTGGAGGTAAACGATTGTTGATCTCGTGAACTTAGGTGTTTTCGCTACTCTCTGTTTAGGGTTCTGTGTTGAGCTTGCTTATCTCTGTTTAGGATTCAGTTGAGCTTTCAAAGGTCATATAGAAGAAGTAATCTGTAACGTTTATCTGTAACAATTTGATGTTAAACTTGGTCATTTTATCTGTAACTTTTAATCTTTGTAAGAACCCACTGAGAAACTTATAACTGTATGGCCAGAGATCAATGCCATTGTCAAAAGTTAAAGAAGGTTAGATTTGGTGTACACTGAGAAATAATGAACTCATTGGACATATTTTATGATTTGAGTTATGAAGTGGGAAATTGATTATTGAAGGCAGGGCTTGAACTACATCCAAAAGGACAATGGTGAAGTGGTATATGTTCTGACTAGTCATATGAAATATGAGAAACTTTAATGTTGGAAGATGTTACTAGATATCAGCCTGCATGAACTCTATGCTGGTTGACTAGTAGGTGTATACACGGCAACTTATCTTTCATTGATCAAAGATATATTTATAACAAGGATGTATTGCTAAACCAAGAAACACAATTATAAATAAGGTAGGTATCTACCAAATTCTTTTACACCAAATGTACAACTAAGAGAATATTTCTTACCAAATATACAACCAAGAGAACATATTGCTACCAATATGCAACCAAGAGAATATATTCCTCGTTATCCTTCCTCAAGTTGAACCATTGTAGAAAAAATGATCAACTTGTCTCGTAAGGACGAAAGTAACCCTCAAGCAAAGGCATAGTCAGTACATCTACAACTTGATCAATGAAGGAGTAGATATACCGAACTTGAAAGTTTTTTTGGCAAACTAAATCACCAACCAAAATGGAAGTTTATTTCCATGTGTTACGTTCGGGTATGAAGCACTAGATTAGCAGTTACATACATTGCACTAAGATTGTCACACCTAGGACATCTAAGCCAATCTTAGAAAGCTGGTTGTGAATCAACATTATGGCAGAGCTTGCAGCAACCAAGGCACGATACCCGGCCTCAGTGGACCGAGACACTGAAAGCTGCTTTTTGGCTGACCAAAAGGTAAGAGACCTAAAAGAGTTGCAAAACTTGTTGTGGAAGTCCTATTGTCGACATCTCTTGTGATGTAAAAGAAGAATCTATGTTAAATATTATTACTTTTTGCCAAGATAATGTTTTAGAGCTCAAGTCCAAACATATGGGCTTATTTTCAAGAAGCGCAAGAAGTCCAAGAAGCTCAAGATTGATTTCAAGAAGTCAAGATTCTTTCCTTCTTAAAATAGGATTTATTTTATTCCTTTTAGAATAAGGATTTTTCTTTTAGTAGGATTCTAGTTTCTTTTCTTTGTAGAATAGGGATTTTACTTTCCTTGTCTTTAGTTATTTTATTTCCTTGTTAAAATAAGAATTGTAGTCATCAAAGAAGAGACTCTAGGCCTATAAAAAGGGTTCTCTTGCCTTGTAGAAAAAAATTCACGTTTTTGAGCTTTGCCCTAATTTGCAATAAAGTGTTTTTCTCTATTTTGTCTTCTTTATCCTTGTTTTTGGTTCCAAGTAAGGTGGTGATAGTCTTTATCTTGTTTGCAATTGCGTGTGGTGTTTCTTTATCACGTTAATTGATTCCAAGTGGTGACTTTAGGAATCTTATAGTTCTTGATCATTCAAGAACACGTTTCTTGATCTAAATTCGTTTTTTTTAATCATATGATCATAACTTTCCTTGAACCGGTACATCACCAATATTTACTTGTTTTGAACGAGTAAATAGTTTTTCTTATAGTTCAGATCGTCACCTTTCATCTCGTTTTTGAATCATCAGATTCCGAGTTCTAAAGCTTGAGATACGCTGTTTCTTGAAACCGGCCTACAAACCACGTTTTTGTTTCAAGATCTTGATCCTGGTTGGTTCTTTGTTAACTCGAAGAATCACATCATCTTTCCCAATCAGCGTTACAAAACCATAAAGCACGTGTATACTATGAATTGGAATTCACAAACCATGTGTGGTCATGTCTCCAAATGTCGGAAAATATGTGTCACAATAGCCTAATGATGAATAGTGGGAGCATGCATAAAGTGGCTTACTTTATTGACAGAGTAAGTAATATCGTGTCAGGTGAAAGTGAGATACTGCAACTTACAAATAATACAACGAAACAGGGTTTCATCATAAAAGGTATCACTATCACCCAATGTAAACTTGTCAATCGGAGTAGATGGAGTAAAAATATCACTACAGGTAGCCATACCCGTTTGTAAGAGGAGGTCATTAATATACTTGGACTGATGAAGCATGAGTCCACTTTTTTTGCCATGTAGCCTTAAGGACTAATATAGAAGGTCCTTAACGAGGAATATATTCTTTTTGTTGTATATTTGATAGGAATATTTCTCTTGGTTGCTCTTGGTTGTATATTTGATGTGTGATACTAGGTGCAGGGGAGAACAATGGTGCTGACTCTGAAGTAGAAGTCACAAAGTGTTCATTTCAGACATGATGACCACAACAACCAAAGAAAAGATAAGAAGATGGCTTAGGCTCTGATACCATATAAAAATTGCAATCATCTGTATCTTTTTTGACTAAAAAGATATATTTATACGAAGATGTTTAGCTGAACAAGGAAACAACATTACAAGCAACATTGGTGTACAAGATTCTCATGTATCAAATATACAGCCAAGAGAGTATATTCCAGCCAAATATACATCCAATAGTAAACATACAACCAGGAGAATATGTTCCTATCAAATATACAACCAAGAGAATATCTTCCTTTTTAGTAGAAACCTTGCAGTAACTCCTTAGAAAAGAAATGCATGTGTTAAGTTAAGTGTGCTTTCAATCTCCCAAACTTATGAGGTTTAAGCTGAATAACCCTCATCCTCTGACTCATATGACGCGTCCTTAAAGTCGTCTCGATTATTTTTGGTTTACTTTAGATTGTGAACTCCGTAGTACTACAGGTGTAGGGAAGATCTTGGCACTTAGAGAAAGTAGTGAAATGGAATGTGATTTCATCTTTCCTGTTGCTTGTCTACGAAAGTTCCTAGTAATGCAAAAAGTGAGATATTGAAATTTCTAAAATGTCCCTCTCTTGAATTGAATGGAGACACATACTGGAGAACACTTGTAATATATGCAAATGAATAAATAAACTTATAAAGAAAGCCAAATTAGAAAAGGAGATCAGTCGGAGGAGGAAGAAAGGATCAACATCTTTTCTTGAATAAATTGAGATCAACTAATGCCATGATTGATAGTTATGGGATTAGTCAAGTATGTGTCGAATCTTTTCTCTATCTTTTACAATTTCTTTTTTAGTAAAGATATTTATTTAAATATTCCTTTTTAACTTCAACTTCAAATATTCTTTTTCTCAACTTCAATGAAATATTTTTCAAACGCCTTTCTTTCTGTGATGCAGTATTTCAGTAATCAGGTTTTGTCTAAACTAAGATATTCTGCATTATCTAATTTTGGAAGCATCCTACCAAGTTACTTTCTATCTATTTTTTCCACATTGGAGGATTTAGTGGAATGATTATTGCATTGTGAATAATGAGGTAGGTTCACAATCTCAAATTCAAAATTTAGATTCACGTGCCTTGAGAAAGTTGCTAATCATATCCTATTAAAAAGTTTCACTCATTCACGTGAAGGCTAGTATAAGATCCAGATTCACTGAGTCTGAAATTGGTCCCATGTGTAATCCAGACTGATCCGTAACTAGTAGCCTGACCTGGTGTGAAATTCTTGGAGCAAATGACAGGACTTCCTGGATCCATATTTCAGAGGATACAGCTTCTCAAGAAAGTATTTAGCACTCAGCACAAAACTTTTAGATATACCTGTCTCCCTTTTGCACCTTCCTATTGATTCATGACCACCTGGGTTTTTGAAGATAGACCTGAGAGTCATGAAATTGCTCTGAGTGAAACAAAATGAATATGGGGCATCCACCTAGCTGGCAGGGGAAAGATAGTTTGCATTGTAGCGTAGACCTTATTTATCATGGTCGAATAGCAAAGCATAACTGCTGATGGTATGATTAAGTAAACTTTACAGCCCTATTTCTTCAGCTAAATTATGTGATTCTGGATTTGTAGCTCCTTTGGGTGCTTAGTGTCCACCCTTTCCCCGACAATTCCTAAAATGCAGCTTTGGTTATTAAAATGTATAATTTCTTGTTTCATGGTTGAAAAAGCTGCCGACGCCTACTTGTAGGTGGTCACTTGAACCTCTTTGTAGATGGCTTTTATTGTTCTTTAGATGCCTTAGAACTCTTCACATCTTTTCTCCATTTTGATCCTTATTTTTTATCAACTGTGTAGTAACTAAAAGTTTGTATGCTGAAGCTTCACCCATGTTTTTGCATAATCACCGAATACATGGATTTGAATTAGATAGGGATGTAATATGTTCAATTTCCTGTTGCTTGACAAGTTCAATGGAATTCTTTACTTTCTAGCAAAGAGAGCCATAAAATTTGTAGCTAATGCCATGTGTTCGTGGATTATCTTTCAATCTGCCCACTTTGTTCTCAGAGTTGTTACATGGATACAGAATAAGTCTCACTGAAATATGCAGCAGTTTCTCTTTGTGATTTCACTTCATTATAGATGTCTAGAATCAACATCATTTTATTATTTCAGGAATAGGCTATGCATTAGCTAAAGAATTTCTCAAGGCGGGTGATAATGTCATCATTTGCTCCAGATCAGGTGATTTCATATCATAGCAACAATCTTTTGAGACCATGGACGTTAATGATGTCATTAACCAATAGATTATTGGGTTTCTCATTGTTCATTTCCTCTTTCTTTTTTTTCTTTTTCTTATTGGTTGTGAAAAGGCAGTCAATTGTGTAATAATGATATATGCAGAATATATAGTGGGATCATGGTAATAGATGTGCCATTAGTGGTGTACCTTAGTTCGAGAATCATGACGATATAGGAGTTTGGGATAGATCTAAGGTGGAGACTTGTCGCCAAATGCAAGGCTGAGATTCAGCCAACTCTGCAACTGGGGGCCTGAGATTTGGCCAACTCTCCACTGAACATTGTCTTAGATGTCTGGGGATCTTTCGCTTGTTATACCGAACTAAAGTATAGTCTTTACCAAGTTCTCCTTTAAAAAGATGTCAGACCCTGTCTTAACTTGGACCCAGAAATATTTGATATTTCTCAAAAAACTAAAAGCCATCTCTGAATCTTGAAACTGAATATAAATGTTTTTCTTTAGCAAGTTGTGGAGGATTAAGTATGATTAATGAATGAACTTCTGTTTACCTATCAAAAGTCAAAAAATAAAAATGAAAGGAGTACAACTCTGTTAATGCAACTTCACTTTCCAAAGTTAGAGCAACTAAGGTCTGAGAAGGTCTGATGACCAATATTGATTCTTCTTATTGAATAGAAAAGAAATCCAGACCTTCGAGCCAATGAAGATTGAAGACCGAGAAAATTTTATAGCCAATATCATTCCAAGCTCCATGTTAGAATTTGGACATTACAATTAAGTAAGAAGTGATGAGACTGGTGTAAGTGCAGTTTTTTATGTTCCTTGTCAATGTGTTACTCAATTAAATACTCATTGATCAAGTCATTTACTCCATAATCTTCATAGTTTGGTAGATCTTTGCTTACACATATAACGGCCTTTAATGGGCCACATAATCAAGGAAATTATATTGCACTCAAGGATGTGGCTTAGTGAAGTAGATACAAACCTTGAGGACGAGTGTTCAGATTCACAGAGAAAAAAAAATGGGTGGTTTCTTTCCTTCTGCATAAGTCTTGGTAGACAGATTTACCCAGTATTTGTATTGATGGAGGTAGCAGGTATCCTGTGGAATAGTCGAGGTGCACTTAAGTTGACCCGTACGTCACCGTTGTAGAAAAAGCTAATTATGTAGTTAGCTCCTTAAACTTGACGTGATTTATCTTGTAGACATCTTAACTTTGCTAGTGACTATTTAGTTACATCTTCTTGGCATAAATGTGTTTCCAAAACACCAAGTCCAACTGACCATGTGTCTGACTAACAATCGGCGGTGATTTGTCAAATGAATGAACAAACAATGACACGTGTAATTTATAAGGAAAAAAAGAAATATAGTATTTAAAAGGTTCCATCTTCCCCGTTTCAGAACCCTTTCCCCTACTTCTTTGTTTAACAACCCTTCTCCACAAAAATTCCTCATCTCCCAATAGTTTGAAACAAAGGACAAATGGGAAGGGCAGTCAAATATACTGGTTGAAAAGATCGATGGGTGGCTATCAGTTTTCTGCCCGGCCATGACTAGACCTATCGTTGGTGACCTCAATCTCTATGTGCAAGTGATGAGTTGTGCAGTGGTGGTTGGAACTTCTCTCTTTTTATTTCTTATTGCTCTCTTCAGGCACTAGAAATTTGATTGCTCGATTATTGCATTTATCCGTTCTTGGAGATGGTGTTAAAATACAAAGGCAATGTGATTGATTTTGTAAGGAATTTAGGAGCTTTGGTTGTGGTAGAAGCTGGTGGGTTCTTTGTCCCATTTTTGGTTCTTTCTTTCTGATTATGGTCAGATTCCTCTCAAGGAAGACAAATCTGTACTCTTGATGACCCACTAGAGCCTTATAACAGCCCAAATCTTTTGTATATTGTCTGAACTCAATAATATATAGCAGCCTATAAATTTATGGCTTTCAGGTTGTCTCAACCTATTCCTCTTATTGACAGGACATTATGATAGTAGATTTTACGTTTTCAGGTGAAGGAGATGAGGTGATTGAGAAGCCCCACCCCCGCTGCCAGCTTCTTTTTCATTGGTTCCATCGACTTCTTCCAAGAAAAGTAAGGAAGAAGAATGTGGTGATTAAAAATGAAAAAAAAAAAACAGAAAAAGCATAATTTTAGTCATTTATACGCTAAAGTGACACAGGTTTTGCCATGTCAGCATGAGGTGTTTATGAGACACACATCTGTCAAGAATAAGTGTAAACGGTCACTGGTATAGTTGAAGTGTCTACTTGAAAAATCGCGCCAAGTTTAAGGGGCTATCTAGGTATTTAGCCAAACAAAAATCAAGGGAATCATATCATTTAGGGTGTGATGTCCAATTAAAGCGATCTGAACTTGAGTGGGCTATGCAATGAAAGCTATATCATTGTTCTCCACATTACTAAAGCAAAGAGATGGAAAGCACATAAATACTTCAACTACTGTTAGTTCCTTTTTTGGTTGCTACAGTAATATAAGAAAGAAAATGAAATGGTACAAGGCTAAGTACAGCTATGATCGGGATGTTTTTGATGACAATTAGCATTACTCGATGGATACTATAGGACTCAGCTTGTTGTGATTGTTCTGCCTACCAAATAGAAGAAGATGAAGGAGTAGAAGATTGGAAACCAATATGTGTGAATATGGCTGAAATGAATTTTTTACCTGCACACTATTGTAGGAGGTAAAACTAATTTGTTGGATGAATTTCTCTTGAAAAGGTATTTATAATAGTTTCATCCCATTTTCTTATCCAGTTTTGTTAAGGATGAGAATGGACATTCGAGATTTTAGGAATGTAAATATAAGAAGCTACGGCTTGTGGGAAGGAAAAAAAAAGAAGCTGCACGATTTGGGTAAGTGATTCCTAGACATTAAGTACCACACATGCAAATTAAGGAAATAGTGAAAAGCAATCGATGCAATCTTATTAGGATAAGGCAAATAGGATGCTGGCTACTTAATAGCCTATTTGGTCAAGTTTCTTTTTGGCCAAAAATGCTTTTTTGGCCAAAAGTGTTTTTTTGGGCCAAAAGTGTTTTTTAGCCCATAAGTGCTTTTTTTTCCAAAGTTAAGGTGTTTGGCCAAGTTTTAGAAGGACAAAAGTGCTTTTGAGTAAAAGTAGAAATAATTTTTGAGAAGCGGGAAAAAGTAGTTTCTTTCGAAAAGCACTTTTTTGAAAAATACTTTTGAGAAAAATACACTTAGAAGCACTTTTTAAAAGTTTGGCTAAATACTAATTGCTGCTCATAGCAGTGTTGTGAAGAGCGTGAAGTGAGGAAAAGCGACAAACCCCTTTTCGTTTAAAGCGAGAAGCGAGAAGTGAAGCGGAATTTAAAAAAAATATTAAAATAAATACTGCATAGACAACACATGTAACTGTAAGCAAATGTTCAATACTTCAATGTAAAAACTAAAAAATGGCATTTATCAGGGGCAGACAGATCATGGATGCAGTTCAAATAGCTAATGAATGCATTGACACAAGGAAAATAACCAAAGAGCCGGGATGCTATGCAAGCTGGATATAGAAAAAGCATATGACCATTTGAATTGGGAATTCCTTCTTAATACTCTAGGAAGGATGGGCTTTGGAGGAAGGTGGATTGGTTGGATAAGATACTGTATCTCAACAGTAAGCTTCTCAATCCTGATCAATGGGGCCCCAGCTGGTTTTTTCCAATCTCAGAGGGGGCTAAGACAAGGGGATCCTCTTTCTCCTTTTCTGTTCATTATAGCCATGGAAGGACTCATTGACCTGGTAAAGGTAGCTCAAACAAATGAATGGATTAGAGGTTTTAAAGTGAGTAGCAGAGCTAATAGCAACATGAGGATATCACATCTGCAGTACGCTGACGATACCTTAGTGTTTTGTGAAGTTGAAAGAGAACAGGTAAAGATACTTAGGGTGATTTTCATCCTATTTGAAGCAATATCTGGGCTACACATTAACTGGCAGAAAAGTTTCATCTACCCAGTTAATAAGGTGCCAGATATACAAGGCTTGGCCAACATTCTGGGTGGGAAAGTAGGGGAGCTGCCAACCGTATATCTGGGGATGCCTCTGGGTGCAAAAAGTAAGGCAAAAAGCATATGGAATAATGTGCTGGAGAAATGTGAGAAGAAACTAGCAAATTGGAAAAATCAATACCTGTCCACGGGGGGGAGATTGACTCTTATCAACTCAGTGCTTGATGCCATGCCTACATACATGATGTCCTTATTCCCAGCTCCAGTGCATGTAGTGAAAAGAATTGATGCTATGAGAAGGAACTTCATGTGGGAACGCAACAGTGAGAAAAGGAAGTTTCATCTAGTGAAGTGGAATGATCTGACTACCAGCAAAAGCCCAGGGGGCCTAGGAATCAAAAATTTGAAAGTGCAGAACCAATGTCTAATGATGAAGTGGCTATGGAAACTGGCAGCAGATGACCAAACATTGTTGATAGAGGTCATTAGGGAGAAATATGGAAGAGAAGGTAACTGGACAACCAAGCCAGTGAGAAGTCCATATGGGGTCAACTTATGGAGATCAATTAGAAACCTTTGGCCAAAAGTGACTAACAAGGCAAAGTTCAAAGTAGGAAGTGGAAGTAAAGTATCCTTATGGAATGATAACTGGCTAGGTCAAGGAACCCTGAAGAATCTCTTCCCTGAGATTCATGAACTGAATCAGCAACAACAAGCAACTTTAGCAGAGGTTTGGACAGCCCCGGGATGGAACCTCACCTTCAGGAGAATGTTAAACGATTGGGAGATTGACAGACTCACTGAGTTCTATAGGGTCTTGGAACAGTTCAATGGAACCAATACAAGCCAAGACCTTATCATGTGGCAAGGGAATGGGCAGGGAAAGTTCTCAGTTAGGAGTGCATACAAAGAATACAACATGTCTAATAATCAAATAGGATGTTGGCCATGGAAGATGATATGGAAAGTCAAAATTCCATACAAGGTCACTTGCTTCACATGGTTATTGACAAAAGATGCAGTCCTAACACAAGACAATTTAATAAAAAGAGGATTCCAACTGTGCTCTAGGTGTTACTTATGTGGGGATCAAGCAGAGACAATCAACCATCTCTTTTTGCATTGCAAATTCACTATTCAGATATGGATTTTCATTAGTCTTAAGGAGAATCTCATGGGCAATGCCGGGAAGAATCCTTGATACTCTAGCTAGCTGGAATAAAGAGGGAGCACTTTCGAGAGACAAAGAGAGATGGAGAATTGTCCCAGCTTGCATTTGGTGGACAATATGGGAAGAGAGAAATCAATGGTGCTTTGAAGATAAATTCAACAACATTCAGAGGATAAAGATGAAATGTGTAGCTCTTTTTTATTTTTGGTGTAAAGGGAAAATTTTAGAGGATCATGAATCCATCTTAGATGCCCTAGATTCATTGTAAGAAGATCAAGGGTGAACAGTGTCCTTTTTGTCTAGTTTTGTATGGACACCCACATTGTAATTATGGATGACTTCACAATTTCAGTGAAGTCTTTATATTAATACAAATTGTTACCTTACTCAAAAAAACTAAAGAGTAGCATCAATTAAAGCACAAAATGAGCATCCTATTCTTCTACAAGATTGTCAAATTCTTGTATTCCACTATCATTATTATATTGCTCGTCATCTTCTTCAACTTCTTCTTCTTCATCAACTAGGGACAAAGTAGCTGCTTCTTTTCAACGAAGGGCAGTACACCATTCTGTTAAAAACTGGGCAGCATTTCAAGTGAAAAAACAGTGAAAGAAGAACTGGGCAGCATTTCAACGAAGAGGAGAAGACTGAGAAAGAAGAATTGAAGGGAAAAAGAAAAATTTGCCAGCATTTCGCTGCTATTTGGACGCTGAAACAGTGAAAGAAAAAGGAGGAGGAGGAGGAGGAGGAGGAGGAAATCACATACCTGGACCAAGCTTGATGAATTGAAGATGAAAAGTGTAGAAAACTTGGAACCCTAGTCGCCTCTTTCTCTCTGTTGCTGCCGGTACTCGTATGTTTTAATAAAAGACCACCTTTTTAATTAAATAGTTGGCAGGTGTTTAAAACAGAGAAGCGCTCGCTTCAGTCGCCTCTCTTCGCATCGTCGCTTCTCACTTTTTAGTGGGAAGCACATGCTTTTGCCTACCTGCTACGCTTCATATAGCAGAAGCGGTCAGATGGTTGCCTTGCTTCGCTTCTCTCTTTAAGCGAGGAAGCGACCGCTTTTCACAACCCTGCTCAAAAGTGCTTTTCAAATTAATTAGCCAAATACAAGCTGCTTCTCACCAAAAGTACCTTTTTGGAAAGCACTTTTGAGAATTTTGAGAAAAACACTTTTTAAAATAAGCTGATTTTAGAAGCTTGGCCAAATAGGCTATAAATAGGTGATAGTATGGGTTGAACGGAATAGAGCTATTGAACTTAACATAACAAAGAAAGGAAGAGAATTTGCTGATGTAGTTTGAATTAAAGATGTGGAGGGATGGCATATTTATGATCTAGATTGATCTCTTTTGAAGTCCTATGCCAATAATTGCTGCTATCCTACCTTGCTGAATCTTGTCCAAATCCTGAACTCACCATAATTGGACAAGCATAAGACTGATGATCTGGCGCGTAACCTGGTTACATGAGTTTTGTTCTCCTCAATTCGTAATCTTGTAACTCGTGAGGAAGTGTTCTTATTCTCTTTTTACTGTTTTAAAGCTCACACTATTTTTATGTTAGCTCTTCAGATCCCCCTACTCCTGAATGACAACGAGAACACAAATTCTTTGGGAGATGTAGTTCAAAACTAAATGTAATTATGTCTTTAGAGTTGACTAGTTCGTTTCTTTGACAGATGAAAGAGTTGTATCTGCTCTTGACAGATTAAGAGTTGAAACGGGGAAGCAGCATGTGTGGGTATCTCCATTCTAACTTCATTTCTTGATACATCTTTATTTGTTCTTTGATACTTTCTAATTGCTCATCCATAGTTTATGAACTTCAATCTGCTGGTTGTATGATGAATGTTTTATATGTCTAATGACTAAGATACCATTATGGGAATAATATTTTCTGTGCTTCATGTCTATCAATTGACTTTAACTTTGATGTCCTGAAAGTTCTGTTGGAAGTAAAGTTGTAAAGTAAACAAAAGGTCCCGAAATATATTTACTGATCCTTTCAGGTGTTTTAGGCTTTCTTTACATGCTTACCTTAAGTATTATTTCGTCTTCACATGCTAGTTAATAAATCAGATCCATATGCAGGGCACCAGGTGTGATGTTAAAGAGGGAGAAGACGTGAAGAACTTAGCTGCCTTTGCGAAGCAAAAGCTTAAATACATTGACATATGGGTATTTTATCTGGATCCTCAATTTGCTTGAGTTGATATGGCTACTAAAGCACTTCGAGTCATTTTGGTTTTGGACTCCAATATATTCGCATGTTCACAGTCAATATGATTTCATCGGGATAATCTAACGCATCAAATATCTGGTAAAAATGAGTTGGTAAAAGGAAAGAGGAAAACTTTGCAGTGAGTATTTTAAAGTTGTACTCCCTTTATGTGATGTAGTTTGACTGAGCACGGAGTTTAAGAGTGAAAGAAAGATTTTTGAAACTTGTGGTTTAAAACAAGTCATAGATATTTGTGTGACTATAAATCATCCATTAAGGGTAAAATAGAAGTTTAAAGTAAAATTATTTCTAAATATAAAAAGGTATCTCTGTTTTTGGGACAGACTAAAACAGAAAGTGCATCACATAAATTGGGACAAAGGAAGTAATTTATATAAGTACTTTTTTGTCAATCCACCCCAAGGTGGTAATTTTGTATTTTAGTTTGTCTTTAAGAAGAAAAGTTAAGATGTTATTCATTGAGAAACTTATATGTTGAAATGTTGATATTCTAATTTTCGTTGGTTGCTTACAAATTCTCGAGCATGATGCAGATCAATAATGCAGGATCAAATGCATATAGCTTCAAACCCCTGGCAGAAGCTTCTGATGAAGATCTAATGTGAGCTCTTTTACACTTCACTTGTGTCCTATCTTTGTTTATTGAAGGTGTTCATGAACTCGATTTGCATGCAGTCAAGTTGTCACTACAAATACTCTTGGTTTGATGATATGTTGTCGTGAGGTAAATTGTGTTGCTCGGTTGTTGAATTCCTCTTTGTTGATCAGCCTCTGTTTGCTAACACTTGTTATTTTAGGCTATAAACTTGATGCAGAATCAGCCTCGAGGAGGTCATATTTTTAATATTGATGGGGCTGGTTCAGATGGAAGACCAACCCCCAGGTATCTTTATTCCTTTCCTAGTGGCACTCAACTTATGCATAATGTATCAGAAGAGATTGGGCCGTTTGCTAGAACAATTTCATAAGGGAGGTTTGAGAAGTGAATAACTTATCAAGAAAAAGTATCTCATTTTGCTCCATATCCCCGGAATGTCACCTGGATGTCTCACATGGTGCACAAAATGCTTCTCATTGACATTGGTTCATCAACCAAGAATTTGCCCTACTTTTGAAATTGGAAACACAAGAGTTCTTTCTTAACTTTACCAACCTCTGGGTGGAAACATCAAGTTGGTCCTTTAATAACTGGACCTTAAACTCATTAAGTACAACCATTATGCAAGTTAAAAGTCAGTTGGTAAGAAAGTTATGGAAAACCTTCGTGCGAGAATAGTATCTCTAAGAACCATTAAATGTGTTGCTTTAGTCTGTTGCGCAGACTCTTCAAAACAGCTGCCACACCCGTGTCAGATCCTCCAAAAATGCACTACTTTTGGAGGATCCGACATGCACCCATCGACATTTTCGGAGAGTCCGAGCAACATAGGCTTCAGTACATGCATGTGTTATGCGATTATTTAATTGGAATTTGACCTGCTTCTGCACATCTGTTGCAGTTTCTTTGCAGATTTTTGCTTGTCCGTTTATCTTCATGATCTGAGGGAAGGAGGGAGGGAGGGAGGGAGGCTATAAAAAGATTTTCTAGAAAGGGACTGAAGAAGAAATTGGATTATGATTTGTTTTTCAGTTCCAATTTTCGGCACCCTCATCTTTTTTCTTTTATAGCAGAAAATGGGTAAGAGTGCAAAGGGAACTGGGAAAAAATCAAAGCTTTTGATTCAAGTTTTCTGAAACCTCACCGTAGCGCCCCAAAGTTAAATTTTAATAAAAAGTTCATGGGAGGCAAACTTCAAGTTTGTTTCAGACAAGAAGGATAAAACAATAATCATCTAAACAGCTTAATAAATATTCTTTAGTTAGACGCATTTGGTTGTTGCTAGAGTAAACTTAACTTTCTGTGTCCTGAAGCTCAAAATATCATAGCTGATCCTATTCCATGATAATCCTTGAACTGCTACATGATACATCCTCTGACCAATTGTAAAAGTGTTATGACTTCAAATAATTACTGGTGGCTAGAAGCGTTATGACTTCAATACATGATGTTGCGTCATTAATAGATCAAGTAACATACTTTGGAACAAAATTGGTAACGTGTCATGCTTGAATATTAAACAATTATCAATATGTCCTTGATTGTCTCTTCAAGTTTTCTCTTTAGGTTGTCTGCTCCCATCTCCATTTTTGTTTTTCGAATGTGCCCCTTCTATTTGTTTCAGATTTAATCTTTCTTTATGAAATCCCTTGTAGATTTTTAATATCTTGAAAGTGCATTGCTATCAACTTCATATAGGAGGTCACTAGTTAGAATAATGCAACTAGTTTCTCACTTGCATCCCTTCTCGCAGTTCTTCTCAGTGATGGGTCTTGTTTCCTTTTCCTTCTTCAGATTTGCTGCATATGGAGCGACAAAGCGCAGTGTTGTGCACTTAACCAAATCATTGCAGGCATGTACTCAGTTTGCAACCTAAAATATATTTATATATGTATATGAAAACATTCCCTCTCTAAGTCTTTATGCTTTTATGAGGCAGCTTACACTATTAAATTTTGTATTAGAATAGGCAGACGATTCGAGTCTCACCGCTACCTATCAACAAATATATCCATGTGCTTGGGAAGGAAAAAGAATTAGGTGCGTACATAAGGGGATGTGTTACAGAATTAAAATAAAGAAATTTGTCCTGTCTAACAATTTTAACATACTCCCTCACCCTTCTCCCCGGGTTGTTGTCAAATTCTATGCAAGATCATTTAGATGAGGCTCCCCTTGTTGGTTGTTCAATTCTATGCAGGATCATTTAATGTTGGGTTTGATATTAAGACACATGAATTTTGCTAATTTTGAGTTCCAGGATGATCAATTATCCATGTAATCTGAAAGTTTTCATCACGTGCTTGGCACCCTAAATAATGAATGGCTGAGAGGATAAAGGTCAAGACTAGTTAAAGACATGAAAAATCACGGATTATACTTCTATTTTCCTGTATTATTTTCCCATACAGCTGCCACAGAAAACTGGAATTACATAATTCTTGAAATCATAAAATACAACTTTGATAGATGAAGTATTAAATCAACATTTCACAAAATGTTAAACCTGCAGTTGGAAGACTTGAATGCTGGCTGGCCTTCATCCTTCTTAGATGCGTCTCTATGTAGCAAAAGCAGGATAGCTGCAAAAGTTATGTCATTGTGCAATCTGGTGTCACCTTTGTTCTCTCTGATATATTTCGTGATGAATTATCACAGCATAGATATTTTTGATTTTGCTGCAGGCAGAATTGGAAATGCAAGATGTTAAAAATGTTATAGTGCATAATCTATCGGTATGCCCTGCTTCATTTATCTTGTGATCTTATAGTGCGTCTTGGATTATTGAGAAGATTGCTCGTCTTTTTTATTTGAATTATTATGATTATTTTGTGGGTGTTATTCTCATTTCTTTTGCTGTATATTGAATATGCCACGTTTTTTTGTCTGATGTGATTCTGATAAGCGTGCTAAGTTCCTAAAAATGATGAGTATAAAGCATCTCTTATGTTGTCAAGTTTGAGATAGAAAATCCTAACAAATATTCCATCTTACATGTAATTCATCATTTTTAAAACATACTAATGATGACAAACAAATAATAGAAAAAAGGGCAGCCCGGTGCACTAAGCTCCCGCTGTGCGCGGGGTCCGGGGAAGGGCCGGGCCACAAGGGCCTATCGTATGCAGCCTTACCCTGCATTTCTGCAAGGGGCTGTTTCCACAGCTCGAACTCGTGACCTCCTGGTCACATGGCAGCAACTTTACCAGTTACGCCAAGGCTCCCCTTCCTAATTTATGTGAAATTGATCTTGTGATAGTACAGAACCCTGAATCTTGTTTTCCTGGGACAATTCTGAGAACATGGCAATTGCACTTATAATTCCACCATAATTCTTGCCACCTTGATGATTTGCTTGCAAAGTTTGCATTTTACATGCAGATGATAAATTGTAGATACTTGATAGTCTCAACGCCCAATGGTGGTGCAAATCAAAGCTTTTGTGCTGACGACATGATAGATTCCAGATATATAAGAATATAAGCTATTAGTTGCTGATTTTGCATATTGGATGAAGTGCCAGACCCAACAACAACAACCCAGTAAAAATCCTCAAGTGGGGTCTGGGGAGGTAGAGTGTACGCAGACCTTACCTCTACCTCGGTGAGCTAGAGAGGTTGTTTCCGAAAGATCATCGGCTCAAGAAGACGAAAATACACAATAGATCAGTGAAAACAACAAAAGCCAGAAAAGTAATATCATCATCGTAAGAGCCAGAAAAAAGCAATAACAATAACCAGTAATAATGCCATAGAACTATGAAAAAGAAAAAAAAATAGTGTGGAAACTACATAACCACTAACACCCCAAGGCGAAACACTATCAGCCTAGCCCTGCCCCCAGTACAAAGTAGAAAGACGCTCGACTCCCTCCTAACCTACAACCCTAATGCTCGACCTCCACACCTTCTTATCAAGAGCCATGTCCTCGGAAATTTGAAGTCGCACCATGTCCTGCCTGATTGCCTCACCCAAATACTTCTTAGGCCGTCCTCTACTCTCCTCGTACCTGCCGATGCCAATCGCCCACCTCCTAATCGGGACATCTAGGTTTTTCTTCCGCACGTGGCCGAACTATCTAAGCTTCGCTTCCCACATCTTGTCGTCCATGGGAACCACGCCCACCTTCTTTCGAATATCTTCATTCCTAATCTTATCTAGCCTAGTGTGCCGGCACATGCATCTCAATATCCTCATTTCTGCCACTTTCATCTTCTGGATATGAGAATTCTTGGCTGCCCAACACTCAGCCCATACAACATGGCCGGTCTAACCACCACTCTATAGATCTTGCCTTTAAGTTTCGGTGGCACTTTCTTGTCACACAGGACCTACTGATCTAATTTTTTATATAACATATTTGTGGCAGATAACCGTTGCATTGCAAAAATGTATTTCCTATATGGCGTAGAGAGATTGAGGACCTATGTAACTTTAGTTGAGATCCATAAATGTTTACCTCAAATACTTTCATAGTTTTGTTTTGGGGCCCTTTTTCCTGGCTATGAGATTACATTCTGCTATGTATCCTAGAATTGGCTCTTTATATTTGGACTCCCAACGTGTGATTGCTCTTACTTCTCTATCATTTGTCTCCATTCAATCCTGTTATATCTGAACCCACATTCAACTCATATTGCAGCCTGGGATGGTCACAACTGATCTTTTAATGTCTGGTGCCAACACGAAGCAGGTAACATGCTGATTAAAACTTACTTATGTTCTTGCATTTAGGGTCTGTCTTGCACTCTTCTTGAAAATAAAAAGTTACAACAGTTTTATGTTTAATGCAGGCCAAGTTCTTCATTAACGTTTTGGCAGAGCCAGCAGATGTGGTGAGATTTTAATATCTTAAGTAGATGATTTTCTATTTGTTGTTGTTAGAAAATGAATATGAAATCTGTCGCGTCCTCACCTGCTTCATCTTAGGTTTCGCGTATACGTCTATTTTTACAGGTTGCAGAGTATTTAGTCCCAAACATTAGATCAATTCCGACCAATGGATCAAGAAAGCCTACTTACATACGTTTCCTCACAGGATTGAAAGCATATTCCCAAATATTTTCAGTTAAGTGGAACAGTTTGCTACTATTATATGCTTCACCTCTTTCCGCCTGAAAACACCTTCTCCTACACAGCTCAACACCCAGGTACCTGCCTCCCTGGCATCCGATTTCTTTCTAATGATATCATGATTTTGTATTGCCATGCAGAGGATTGCATTTGGTGCTAGAAGGAATCGGTATGTTCTTGAAGATTGATGAATCGACGGGTCCAAATGGATGATTGGGGTTCAAATTTATCTCTCATCTTTTTGCTCACAACTTGTGTATATCATTGGAAGCCTTACCATTTTTGACGAGGACAAAGCCATGTAAGAGGTTGGGATAGAATGAGCTTATGCTTAAAAGAGTGTCTGTATCTTACTTCTTATTGACCTATTTAGATAAACAATCAAAAGGAAATTTTCTTTTCACTACAAATTCTTTTTATATGTTCTAAATTAATTTTAATACTAAAATTGTGATTAGTAGTTTCTTTATTGTGTAAGTTTAGTATAGTTGTGCTTTGCCGTTGGAGTTTAAATCTGTACATCCACTCTCTCATATCTCTATGTTACGGAAGTACTTGCTTAACCTGGTACTTGTTATCCCTTTCCAACTCGGATAATAAGCAATCCTACAAAGAAGTTTCATAACCATTGTGGACCAGCAAATTCGCAAGTTGAGGTCTAAAGAAGTCGCTTCAATCAAAGTTCTTTTGAGGAATCATTCCGCTGAAGAAGTCACTTGGTTAGCCGAGAGTTACATGCGACGTATCCACATGTCTTCCACACCAAAGGTATGACTTGTTTCAACATTCTAGGATGAAACTTTTTAAGTGGGAGAATGTAACGCCACATTACTCTATGTAGCTCTTTTACACGTCTTTAGTTCTTATAATGCTTAATATGGGTGGTTTTAAGTTATTGGTAGACTGTGAATGTGTGTGTTTGATATGGGGATAGCAATCCATGTTTTGGATGATACGGAAGAGTTTAAATTGGACTTAGGCTGGAAAATGGCATCATTTTCAAAATCCACGTTGTACTGCAATCGAAACAAGGTTGCAGCACAACACTGGGAGGCAGCCCAAGCTGTGGATAAAGAGTTGTGTGATCACAACCAAGAAGTATGCGTAGTAGTGCTACAGTCGCAGCATACTTTCTGCATTTGTAGCCAAACGTGGTGTCAAGGACCCTTCCTAACGTAAGAGGAGCTAAGATTGTAACAACGTGTGTTCTCCATCCAGGCAACTGCTACTTGAATATGACTGCAATCACAGCCCGTGATGCTGCGACTGCAAAATATCTGTCCCAAGTCTTCTTCCACCCTGGGCAAACATCCCCCAAATTGTTAGCAAATGCCATCATATGATCCTAATAGTGGCAATCGCATTTATACATGCCAGGCCCAAACAGCTGCAATTAGTGGTGGCAAAATGGATTTTAAAAAAATAGTTATCCATCCACATTATCCAGTAAAATATGGATTGGATATTGAACTTTTTTAAAACGGTCAAATATGGATAAGATTCTAATTATCCACTTATTAAATGGATAAACAATGGATAACCAGGGTTATAAACTTTACATTTGCAAAGACTCAGGTTCCTCAAGTTTGGGAGATTAGGAATTCTTTCAAAAATGATCATATTTAAGAAATCATAGATATCCACCGGGTAATGAATTTCGTATCCTTATTCAATACGGGTTGGGTTGGATAATTTATCCATTTTTGCATTACTCGTTTTCGACCCGTCCATATCCGAGTGACCCACCCAATTGCCCCAGCTACAATTAAGACCCCTTTGTGAAAATTTTCACATTTTTCATACTTCTCAGACTAGGGCTCGGCCAAGAAGGGTTATATCCTTTACAAAAGAACATAGTTGACAGGGTAGTACTATAGTGAATCCCTGGTGATAGACGTTACATTTGATCAGGATTAGGAACCTTGCTTTAATAAAAATAGGGTCTCGAATCTCAAGATGGTGGAGCATGATGGTACCGTTGTACAAGAACAAAGGCGATATCCAGAAATGTAACAACTATAGGGGTATCAAGTTACTAAGTCATACCATGAAAGTTTGGGAGAGGGTGGTGGAAAAGAGGGTGAGGAGAACTGTGTCTGTATCTGATAACCAATTCGAGTTCATGCCGGGTTGTTCAACTACGGAGGCTATCCACCTTATTAGGAGGTTGGTGGAACATTACAGGGATAGGAAGAAGGATCTGCACATTGTGTTTATTGACCTGGAGAAAGCGTATGACAAGGTACCTAGAGAGATTCTTTAGAGATGCCTGGAGGCGAAAAGCGTGCTGGTTGCTTACATTAGGGCGATTAAAGACATGTATGAGGGAGCTAAGATCCGGGTTAGGACAGTAGGAGGCGACTCGGAGCATTTTCCGGTTGTTATGGGGCTGCACCGGGATCTCGCTTAGCCCATTTTTATTTGCCCTTGTGATGGACGCACTGACGCACCATATTCAAGGGGAGGTGCCATGGTGTATGTTATTCGTTGACGACATAGTTCTGATTGATGAGACGCGAGGCGGCGTTAACGAGAGGCTGGAGGTTTAGTGACAGGCCCTTGAGTCTAAGGGTTTCAAGTTTAGCAGAACTAAGACAGAATACCTAGAGTGCAAGTTCAGCGCCGAGTCGAGGGAAGTGGGCGTGGACGTGATGCTTGAATCATAGGGCATCCCCAAGAGAAGCAGTTTCAAGTACCTTGGGTCGGTTATTCAGAGGGGATGGGGAGATCGACGAAGATGTTGCCTACTGTATAGGGGTGGGGTGGATGAAGTGGAGGTTAGCATCTAGAGTCCTATGTGACAAGAAGGTGTCATTGAGGCTCAAAGGTAAGTTCTATAGAGCAGGGGTTAGACCAGCCATGTTGTATGGGGTAGAGTGTTGGCCGGTTAAGAACTAGCATATCCAGAGGATGAAAGTAGTAGAAATGAGAATGTTGAGGTGGATGTGCGAGTACACTAGGATGGATAAGATTAGGAATGAAGATATTCGGGAGAAGGTGGGCGTGGCCCCGATGGATGACAAGATGCGGGAAGCTAGGCTCAGATGGTTCGGGCACGTGCGGAGGAGAAGTCCAAACGCCCCAGTAAGGAGATGTGAGCGGTTGGCTTTGGCAAGTATAAGAAGAGGTAGAGGGCGGCCCAAGAAGTAATGGGGAGAGGTGATCAGACAAGACATGGCGAGGCTTCAGATTTTCGAGGGCATGGCCCTTGATAGGAAAGTGTGGAGGTCTAGCATTAGGGTTGCAGAATATGGGGTAGCGAAGCTCTTTGCTATTCCGCACCTGGTGAGAGGCTAGTCTGAGAGGGTTGTGTCCTAGAGTGCTAGTGGTTATTGTTATGTCCACACTTCTCTTTCTCTTTGATGGTTTAACCAAATATGTAATATGATTTTCACACTTGACATGTTCTTTATTTTTAGAACACGACTTTTAATTATGATATTTGACTTAAAAGATAATTTAGTTAGGCTAAATACATAAGCGCCCCTTAAAGTTTGCACTAACCTTCATTTGGACACTAACTATGACTTGTACCTATAAGATACTCCAACATGATTTATTGTATGCTTTTGAACACCTTATGTTCACCTGGTCTGAAAATTTATTTCATATTCAGATGATGTGGCACAACATTGAATAAAATAGTGACATGTGGCTACCTTTTTTTTTAAAGGTCAAATAGCTCAGACTCCCAACCCCCTCCCCCTCCCCCCCAACCCTCCCAACCCCAATCCCAACAAACACCTTTTCCAGTTATCTTTCCCCCCCTTTTTATAACGGCTGTTTCGTTTCGATTCTCTTCAATTTCATCGAGTTCTACTGAAACACTATGTTCAGGAGGCACTTTATACCATTTCTCCAGCACAGCAACCTCATTACTAAGTTCAAAACTTTTTGGAACCTTTCAACTTTCTCAGTTACTATACCTTCTTATGTTACAACACATATCAAGAATTAAGGTCATTTTTCTACTCGTTATAAAGCTGGTATCGTATGGAATTACCACGATATGGGTCACCTTTGGTGCAGAAGACTCCGGGCTTTTGAAACTATGGATACTTCGGTTCAAACTTTTCTCTCTTGGTTGATGATTGAAATTGTTGATTCTTGTGGGTTTCTCTCTGCAGCTTAAATTTAATGGATTGATGAATTAGTCAATGTTGGTAGTGGGATGAATCTATAGAGAAATTTTGTGGTAAATGGTGGTGGCTGGTGGTAGAGAAGATGAAGAAGAAAGAAAAATTTATTTGAAAAAAATTAACATTTCTTATTCACGAGGTATTTAATAGACACATTCATTGTGCCACATAAGCATGAGGTGCTATTCTATCCGGTCCAAAAAAGTGATTTTTTGGCCTTTTTTTTATGGTCCAAAGTAAGTAATTTTTCCAGATTTCAAGAATGAATGAATTATTTTTTTCCTACATTGTCCTTGGAGTAAATAGTGTTGGAGTATGTGTTAGGAGTGTTTATGTGAGATAGTAAAGGTTAATATGGTCAATTTCATTGTTAATTAATGCTAAAAGATGGATTTCTTAATCTGTGTGAAAACATCCATAAACTCACTTATTTTGGACCGGAGGGAGTACTGAAAAGTGAACTTTGAACGATGAATGCTCCTGTTAAAAGGCATTTCATGCGTAGTTATTTAGGAATTAAAGAGAAAACGTAGGGATAAAGAGGAAAACGTAGGGAGTAATAGATACATTCTGAAAAGCATGTAAATTTGTCCAATAGGTACAGATAATTGTTGAAGTGCCAAAACAAAATTTCGTGTCAATTTTAAGGGGTTGCTTATGTAATTGGCCATTGTTATGTACATGCGTGTGAACACTGAATTATTGAACAAAATCGAACTTTACTCCCTTTTAGCGTAAATTTTTGGGGTATTACCAGCTATGTCCATTTATAGGTAGCTCATTACAAAAATTGGCCAATTGATAAAATATTACTAATATTAGCCAAATTAGCCAATTAGCTATTTGTAGCAAAAAAATATCAAATTTTTGCTTTGTTTTGAGTGGGTGTTATTAGAATAGATTGAGCACAACTTAAGGAGCTTGAATCTCAGTTTTGGGATGATTTGGTGAAGTTTTGAGGTGGTTTGAATTGAAATTTCGAAGTAAAAGCTGAACATGAAAAAAAATGATTGTGTATCAGACTGTGGATCATTTGTGTATCACATATGTATCAAATTTGTATCAATTGTGTATCACATGTATATCCATGTATACCTGTGTGTGAGATACATGCGTGATACATGTTTGATACATGTGTCGCAGAAGACTTTTTTGAACTCGATTTATTTATGAATTTTGATACAAGACCACTCCAAATCACCTCCAATCTTCCTCAAATTTTGTATATTGACTTATCTATATATTTTCAATGAATTTCAACTATACCCATTGAAAAAGTTCCTTTTTTGTTTAGATTTTTGGAATATTTGTATAGATT